CAGAGCGGGCCTCCTCAGGGTGCCGTCGGCCAAACAGTGTCGGCTGGCGACCCCCAGGGGGAGGGCCTTCTCTGTGGGAGCCCCCACCCTGTGGAACGAACTCCCCCCAGAGATCCGGATTATTCCGGATCTCCCCTCCTTCCGCCGTGCCCTCAAGACATGGCTTTTCCATCAAGCGGGATTGGCCTAGGGGGGGATTCTATAGGGATTTTAAAGGGATTTTATAATTTTTCTAATACAGGTTAATTAATATATATTTTAATTTGGCTTTTAAATATTTATTGTATAGCTCTGTTTTTATTTACCTGTAAGCCGCCCTGAGTCCCTCGGGAGAAGGGCGGGGTATAAATTAAAGTAATAAATAAATAAATAAATAAATAAATAAATAAAAATCATTCTCAGGAGAAATTTATCTCAATGTGGAGAAGATGGATAGATTATATTCAGAGAAAGTATGAATTGAAAAATTATTATGTAGCTTTTGATTAAAAATTCTGAACAAAAATATGTATATCAAATATTGATATATTTAAAAAAAATTGTATGTATTTTAATGTTATTTTAGAGTCACAGCAAGTTTATACTAGTGTGTAGTAATAATGAGTAGTTTTGAATAGAATTGGATTATTGTGTGTTTATTTCCTAGATTAGCTTTGGGAAGTCCTGGGGGGGGGAGGGGGGAAAGGGGTAGGTTTGTGTTATAGATTTATATGTATGATTTTTTAAGGAGGTGTCCGGTGGTGCCCCAACTGCACAAGACGGGTGGTTGAGTGAGGAAGGGAGGTAGGAAAGAGGGAGGAAGGAGGAGTGGTGGTAGGTTGGGAGGAGGAAGGTGTGGTAAGTGGAAGAGGGTGGTGCGGGAGGGGGACACCGGACACATCCATGAATGTATTGATTAGTGTTATTTCTTTTGGTTGATATTGTGATAAAAGATCTATGTTTTTGTTTTTAAATGAAAAATTAATAAAAAATTATTAAAAAAAAAAAGCTATATGGAATATGGATGACTGCTATGAATATCCATGGATGTCTCATGGACCTGTATAGCTTCCAGATGGCCCCAAGGGAGTCAAGTGTGGAACAAGACTGCTTCTGAACAGCCTCATTCTGCTGACTAAACCGAGCAGGTTCTGAGGAGCCACAAGAAGTGAAACAACAGAAACACCTAGAATAGCAGTAGACAAAGAAAAAATATTCTATGTTCAACCCACTGGAATTAGCTTAATGGTGCAATTTAAAGTGCTGGCTTTAACACATAAAGAGCTTTATGGCTTGCTACTGAGGTACCTCTAGTGCCACAGAGCTGGCCAACCTATTGGGCTATTAGAGAGAAATGCTCCTAGTGCCGTACTGTAGGGAGGTTTGGCCAGGAGGGATAGCTTCTTGATAGCAGCAGTGGTTCTGTGGAATAGCTTCCATGTGGAAATCAGTATGATCCCTTCCTAACTGCATTCAGAAAGTTGCTGAAAACAGCAAGCTCTGGAAAGTAGTGATATTAGATTCATCCCTGGTGTTTTGAGTTACTTTATTCTTAAGTTACATTATTATATTGTTTTGATTTTATGCTGATTTTATTCCTATTGGGGATTTTTAACTGTTTTTTTCTATATTGAGAATTGTTTGATTGCAGTGAGATATAAATATAATAATAAAACGTATTACCATGATGGAAACATATTTTTCTCTATACCAATTTTAATCCCTTTATCTAAGTTACTCACTTAGGAGGCCCCAGTTCATTCTTTAACAAATCTAGAGCTTCATCAGGACCAAAAGCCTCAATAACACATGATGAAGCTAAATAAATGGTTCTGAAACATCCTGAACTAAATTAAACATGTCAAATGTTACACAAGCTTTAAAAATTGCTTCAAGAGAGCTGAAGTTAACATACAGAACAGCATTACAATAAACTGATTTTATTGTCTCCTCTCACAACTGTTTTAACAGTTACCTTTAAGTCAGGTCTCTCCATTAATATCAGTTTGTTCTATGACTGGTCAACTTACCTAACTGCTGCAGCAATAAAGCAAGCAGTTGTGATTGGAACGAGAGTGGGATAGCTAGTTTCATAGTCTGCAATTCCATGATACCATTCGAGGTATATGATGCAGTAAAATGCCACTGACAGACTGACTGCTAATAAACAGCTGCCAAGAACAAACCACCCACTGCAAGACAGAGAAAAGGAGAGCTGAGTAAGTACCACAATAAGCTAGCTGATCTTGTATTAAGCATACATCAATGTTATGAACATTGGCTCAATTAGGAGGCTAATCCAGATCAGGACTGTTCTTACATTAGCTGAGAAAGACACAAGCTTTACCAGGCTTGTGTCTTTATGGTGCTTCAGATTTCAACTAGTTAAGACAGGGGTCTTCAAACTTGACCCTTTTATGACTTGTGGACTTTAACTCCCAGATATTATATACTTTTATTTGTTCTTTAATCCATGTGCTGGTCTTTCTATCTTGTACTGTGATACCAAGCATGTATCTTTTCCATAGCTCTTTGCGCCACTCATAGCTTTTGTATCAATTGTGAGGTTAATGTCCATGTTTTACTGGCATATGTTAGAACAGGTAGCACACACTGATCGAAAACTTTCCTCTTCAGGGGGGATTACACTTAGCTTGCTGAATATCTGCCAACCACGTTTAACATGGCATTCAATTTCCTTTATTATATCACCTTCTACTGAGATCTGTTGACAAGGTATAGATAGTGGTTTATTATGTCTTTCTTTGGTGAATTTATTAAACATGACCTGGCTCTTTTTCAGGTTTATTTTTAAGCCAAGTGTTTCTCCTGATTTCTGCAGCTCTTGTATGTGTCTTTGTAACTCTTCTGGGTTTTGTGAGAAGAGAATATATGTTTTATGTGTTTTATATAACTATGGTTATATCTATATAATAAACAAAATCATTTAAAATAAGTCTTCTTGGCTAGTTTCCTACCCCAACTACTTCAGTTATTATCCTCTATGAAAACTTTGCAATCTAGGTATAGATAGGAATACTGAGTTATCATTCAAATTTTAGAGTAAGAAATTTATTTTCTCAAATGATAACATGCGTAATGTACTGAGGAGTGACGGGACCTACAAATAATTTGAATAATTATTTTTTTCCAAATTAAAATGTAAACTGGTCACATAAAGTAACAACTTTTATTTGTATAGAAACAGATATTTACCTTTCTTTTTGAATAATTTCCTTAACGGTTTTAAAAAATTCAATATAATATGTAATAGCTATCGATGACAATATCCAAAATGCAGAATGAATGTTAAGCCTAGGAAAAGGCTTATCCTTTTTCTCCATGCTTGTACCTGGAACTATAAAAATAAAGCCACTGTTATTCTATAAAATGCAGTAGCTGAAGTCTAATATTAATAAATAAAGCAAAGCACTTTGTCATTTCTTTCTTAGTTACAATTTACTAAACCTGAACAGATTCTTCTCAAGGCTCCATGGCTTTCTTGTATGCCTGTTAGAAAGCATATCCTGTGAGCACGTAGCAGGATTCCAGACGAAGATTCAGCATGGCTGTATCAGGAAGCAGTAGAAACTTGTCTGAAGAAAAGGGATAAAACTACAAAAAGAAACTACTTCCAAAGCCCATCCAACAACCTTTTTCTAACCAACTAATCTGTCAAAATGTTTCTATCAAGAAATTGTCATTATTTCTTGAAAATTAGTAAAAATATAAAATGACAAACAATACTAGTAAACTGTATTTTCAGTTTACAGTTTCATTCCACCAGTTAGTTTCGTTTCTGTGATACAATGTAGTGTGAAAGAAATGCTACTCAATCCTCTTAGACCTCACTAAACATTAAAGTAGCATATCTGTCTACATAAAAGCTATGAGAGCCAATTCAAACCATGAGATCTGCTATCTTACATTTAATCTACATTCCAGCAGTGCATATAAAATTACTAGTGATACAATTCCCGAGATATTTTATCTCGATAACAGTATAATAGAGTTGGAAGGACCTTGGAGGTCTTCTAGTCTAATCCCCTGCTCAACGAGACACACCATTTCAGACAAATAGCTGTTCAATCTCAAACATCTCCAGTGATGGCACACCCACAACTTCTGAAGGTAAGCTGTTCCACTGATTGTTCTCACTGTCAGGAAATTTCTCCTTATTTCCAGGTTGGTTCTCTCCTTGATTAGTTTCCATTCCTGCTTCTTTTCCTACCTTCTCACATGTTTTAGCCTCCAGTCCCCTAATCATCTTCATTGCTCTTCTCTGCATTCTTTCTAGAGTCTTAATATCTTTTTTATATTGTGGCCACCAAAACTGGATGAAATATTCCAAGTTTGGTCTTACCAAGGCAATAAGTCTTATAAAGCGGTACTAACACTTCTCATGGTCTTGGTGCTATCCCTCTGTTAATGCAGCCTAGGACTGCATAGGCTTTTTTAGCAGCTGTAGCAGCACACTGCTAGCTCATACTTAAGTGATTGTCCACTAGGACTTCTATTCTATACCTGTGCATTTGGTTTTTCTTGCCTAAAGAAAACAGAAATAATTTGCCCTAATTCTACAAATTAATGTATTGTTCAGCCATAACAAAACAAAACCAATACTGTACTGTTTGTACAGTAATGTACAATAAAAACATATATTTGATCTGTATAGTAATATATATAATCTGGCCCATCTGATCCTGTCTGGCTGGGTTGGCATATTTTGGGTTTCTTTGCTCATGCTGTTAATGTGTGTGATCAACCCCCCCCCCCTTATTTTCCTTGTTTCTGTCTGGTGTGGGAAGTCAGCCAGCCTCCCTCCCCCAGAGAAAGAAATATTTTTTGGAATATTAAAAGGCAGAATGTATTTCCCCAAAGGATTTTAAAGGCAGAACCGCCCCCCCCTCAAGTCTCCCTGCCCCAAACCAGAAAACAGGTCTGCAGAAATGCAATGTCATAATCTTGTCAGAAAGAGTGGAGTCACGAAGCTGGGAAGATAAAGATCCCTAAAATCAACAATCCCTCACACCAAAAAAATCCAACACTCATCAGTCACAGCCACAGGGAAGCAGGAATATGACTTTTGGGACATAATAGGATTAACCCACTACCATCAGAATACCAGAAAGGCACACTCAGACTCAAGTCAAAGTTCATGCCACAAGAACAACTCCAAACAAAAGCCCAAGAAGATATAAAACCCCACTCCCTACTACATGTGGTCAGTTTTTCCCAGAGCCATCTTTCTGTCTGGCTCGCCTCTTCAATAAACTACAACCTTCTTTCTAACGTAGTCTCCATTTTGTTTATTCCCAGCTTGGACTGGACTCTGATGAAGATTTTTCTTTCAACACTGGATTATCTTTGCCATCTCTGCTTCTTTTTATTAGTGTTATCTGCTCTTTTATGTTCTTTTTTCCACATTTTGTAATTCCAAGAGTTACTGGGAATTGGGCAGTTTATAAATTGAATAAATAAACAAATGTAATTGTTATTTTGATATCAAATTCAACTAAAAGGAGTTAGTGAAGTACAGGAGCCAGCCCTTTCCTGGGGACCTTCAGACAGTCATTTTTGCCAGTCACCTCACGATTGGATTACCATTGCACTTCGCGGCTTGACTACCTCAAACTGCTCTACCACCGCCAGAAGCATGGGGTGGGGAGGGGGAAGCATCAAGTCCGTTGCTTCTCGAGCTGCCAGGAACCTCTTAGGCTCGCTTCCAGGTGCTTGTCATCGCCTGGAAAGCCTTCCGAGACAGGGCCTGGTTCCCTAAGGAAGCTCCTACGTCCAGCCGTCTTCCCTTCCTGGCTCGGTCTACCACGATAGGGAGCGGATGCCCAGCCGATGGCAGAACACGCCTGGAAGCCGCCTGCTATCGATAAGTGGCTTTGGGGTCATCCTAAATTATCGTCCCCAGGTATACTTATCAGCGCCCGAATAGGAACTGCTGCTCGCGCCTCCTATGCAGGCAGGCCGCACTCATCTAGAAACCCTCCGAAAGCCTCCCTGTCAGGGCACTTCCGAGTAGAGCAGGGTAGAAGCTGAGGGGACTCTGCAGCCGCTGCAGAGACGGCGAAGCCCCTGGGTTCGTGCATCCGTCCGCTTCCTCGATTCAGCAAACACCTACCCCCTGTCCTGCTGTCCTGTCCCGGTCCGCGGCTGCTTCCTAGCCCCCGCCGCCGGCGGACCAACACTTCTAATTCGCCGCCGTCCAACATCTAGGAGCCGGAGGAAGGAGGGCGGCGGAAGTGACCTGACCGGAAGCCAAGAGCGCCCCTGTACAGCGCCCATCCCCCTTCTGTCGTTGTGTGGGAATGGGATTGCTCGGAATTGTCAATAAGAAAGGCAGTTCAGACGCGACAGGAGCCGCCCAAGGTGCATCTCTCAGGCCTCGGCCGCTGGCGAATGGACTTCCCGGGGTCCGCCAACAGGCGTCCTTAGGGAAGTAGAGCTGGGGAGCTGATGTATCTCTTTGCGGTGCTAGGAATCCCTATGTTCAGGATATGTTGATAGTTCGTTATTGAATATACTTAAACATTTTAAAGTATTTTATGGTGTATATACTGCATGTTTTGTGCTTTGCGGTGAGCCGTTCGCAAGATAGGGAATGCAGAAAAGCATAAAAACAGACTGTTTTCACACAATCAGCATATAAAATCTCAGTTTTGAAGCAGACATGCTCATTGATCAACATTTTTTCTTTACTAGGGATTACCTTTAAAATGGTGGAGTATATTGAAAAAATCACTGAGGTGATCTATTGAGATTATTTCTCATCCCACAATAGTATAATCTTGTGGGAAGAATCCAGAGAAAGAAATATTTTGGGAAATATTAAAAAGGCAGAATATATTTTCCCAAAGGATTTTAAAGGCAGAAACCAACCCTTCCCCCAAGTCTCTCTGCCCCAAACAGAAAACAGGTGTGCAGATGTCATAATCTTGTCAGAAAGATTGGAGCTAGGAAGCTTGGATTAGAAAGAAAGATCCCTAGAATCAACAATCCCACACACCAAAAACCCAACAGTCATCAGCTACAGCCCCAGGGAATCAGGATATGACCTTTGGGACATAATAGGATTAACCCACCACCATCAGAATACCAGAAAGGCACACTCAGACTCAGGTCAAAGTTCAAAAGGCTGAGCCTACAAAGGGTGCCTTGTGCCATTCTGGAGTGGGTGCCATTTGCATGATCTCTCAGAAGAGAATGATTTTCCAATTCAATCTCCCAGGTTTTCCTTCTGAGAGATCATGAGAATGGTAGCTGTTTTAGAATGGTGCAAGACATCCTCTGTAAAATGCAGAGGCTCTTTCTAAAAGGTGATCTTCAAAAATTGCATTTTGGAAAAAGAGGCAGTTGATGCGCCATGTGGCCTTCCTATACAGCAGCGGTTCTCAACCTATGGGTCGTGACCCCATTTGGGGTCGATCGACCATTTCACGGGGGTCGCCAAGCAAGGCTGTCCGCCATTTTTTTCCCCTTTTCCGGCGGGTGCCTTACCTCCCTTGGGCTGGGCCAGCTGGTGGTCGGCCTGCTCTGTCTCTGCCGCTTGCCAGCTATGCCTCGGCCGGCGCAGGGGGCGGAACCACGCATGTGCGGCGCTCCCGGGCAGGGAAAGTCCTCGACTTACGACCGGTTGGGTAGTCCTTGACTTACGACCAGTTTAGTCCTCGACTTACAACCGGTTTAGTCCTCGACTTACGACCGGTTTAGTCCTCGACTTACGACAGGTTGGGGGTCGTGGCATTAAAAAGGTTGAGAACCACTGCTATACAGAAACTATTTCATGCTGTCCAGGAGCAAGTGCCATTTTATCTCGGAGAATATCTAAAAGAATGTTGGTTCTCATTACTTCTATGCTGGATATATGAAGAACTTTGGATACATTTGCTAGGAATGTGGCTAAAAAGTGCTTATATCCTAGATCAGGGATTTTCAACTGGTGGTATGTGTTAAGTTCTTGGTTTATGTGCGAAAGATGAAGACATATGGTGACTACAACAACTCTTTATTCTCCTTCTCCAACTCCAAGCAAAGAAGCAAAAGGCATGCAGGCCTTTTATAGGGCTTGAAACCCGGACAGAGTGAACCAATAGGAATTCCTCTTCTTTGCACCTTGCGCGTGCGCACAAGGCTGGTGCCGCTCTGTCTGGTCCCGGGCAGCTTTTACAATGCCAGGGACCATTTGCAACCTTTCTGGGTCTGCTGAGTTTCCTCAACAGGCCCAGGACACAACACCCCTCCCCCCTAGATAGAACACACACAATTCCAATTTTCTTTACAATAATAATAAAAGAAAAGAAAATCATATTCTACTCCATACAAACACCCTTCTATAACTAATAGGTTTAACTAACCAACCACTCTCTAATGTGGACTTTGCACGTCTATCTTTTACCCAACATAGGTCCCATCTCCACGACCTAGACCTGTAAGGTCCCTTGTACTGACAGGAACCTCACATAATTGCCTAGATGCTTAGGAGGGGCCTTAGCCCGTTGTGACCTACGCAAGGTTAGGGAGGGGGCCTGGCTTGTCAGCTCACCTGCTTGGCTAGGCAGACCAGGACTTGTACTTAAGGACACCTGGCCTACTGGCCTGTCTGATGGGCTCGCTAGACCAGGACTTTTATGCACAAGTTTTGCAGGTGACCCCTGGTGAGGCGTACTGGCGAAATTGCCAGAGCTCTTTCCAGGCTCCATTAGAGCAGCTGAAATTCCCCAACCTTCTGAATTGGCTGAGGATTCCCCAACTACCCTGGATGGCTCCAGGGAACTTAATCCCTCGAGCCCGTGACCAGTCTCGGACGTGACCTGCGTTGCAGGAGTGCCCCAATAGTTCCAGTCCCCTGTGGCCAAGGTGCCAGAGTCAGGAGCCGCCTCTATGGCAAACTCCTCCTCAGGTGAATCCCTGTTTGGAGCTCTTGCGGATACGCATGGCTCCCTGTTCGGTGCAATAGCTGAACCGTGAGGATGCCCCTGCTCCACCCCTGGGAAATCCCTAGCGTCCTGCGGTAATTCTCAGGAGCAATGAGGCGGGGTCTCCCAATGTTGACCTGAAGTGCGATCTGGCTCCTGGGCCCCCTCCCCCCCGAGAGCGGAGGCAGGGGTAGAAACATCACAGGACAACCGCCAGCGCAGTTGATCGATGTGACGCCTCAGGACGCAGCCATCTCCCAAGGTCACTTCGTATGATAGAGGTCCAGAGATCTTACAGATGACAGCAGGGACCCAAAGGTGTCCAGAACTATAGTTCCTAGCCCAGACCGGATTGCCCACCTGAAGTCTCCTAGGTGCCCACGGCTGTGACACCTGTGAAGCCACCCAGTCTGGGTGCAGTCTATCCAACTTAGTAATGAGGCGGTGACCCCAGCGGAGTTCAGCTGGGCTCTTCCCGGTGGCAGTGCATGGTGTGGTGCGGTGTGCAAGAAGGAAATCTGCTAACCTGTGATGCCAGCTGCCGTATGTTAGTCGTTTGAGTGCGTCTTTGGTGGTGCGCACCATTCTCTCTGCTTGCCCGTTGGTGGAAGGGTGAAAGGGAGCTGACGTTGCATGCCGGATCAGGTTGGCCTGAAGGAAAACCTGGAACTCACAAGATGTAAATTGAGGACCATTATCAGAGACAAGCACATCTGGAAGGCCATGCGTTGCAAAAATTCCTCTTAGCACCTGGATGGTCCTGGCAGTAGTAGTGGAGGAGACAGGTACAACCTCTAGCCACTTGGAATGGCTATCCACAAGGATAAGGAAGAATTGCCCCTGGAAGGGCCCAGCATAATCTAAATGTACCCTTGACCAAGGGGTGTGTGTCTCCTCCCGCCTGTGTACTGGGGCCTGAGGCGTTTCAGGCCGTGATTGTTGGCACACTTGGCACCCGTGCACCTGAAGCTTTGATAGCTTTCTCAAGCCCAGGCCACCAAAGATGGCTGCGCGCAAGCGCTTTCATGCGTACAATTCCTGGATGTCCCTCATGCAGAGAGGACAAGACCCTAGACCGCAGTGAGGTAGGGATAACTACTCTAATCCCCCATAATAGGCACCCATTAAAGGTAGAGAGTGCGTGTCTCCTTTGCCAGAAACTTTGAAATGTCGCATCTGGACATGTGTCAGGCCATCCTGACAATACCCATGTCAGCACGCGTGCAAGCATGTGATCAGTGGCAGTCTCTGCAGCCACGTCCCTAGCATTGAGGGGAGATTCAGGCAACTCTTGAATAGAAAGAATATTAATGGCAGGAGCAGGGTCTGGCTCTACCTGTTTCAGAGCTAATCTGCTTAGGCCATCTGCATGGCCCATCTCTTTTCCAGGTTTGTGAACTAGAGTGTAGTCATATGCTGACAGGAAAATGGACCATCTCAGCATACGAGGAGAAATGATATGTGGTATCTGTTTGTTAGTGGTAAACAAACCCAGCAGAGGCTTATGGTCTGTATAGACCGCGAAGTAGCGGCCATATAAGAAATCATGGAATTTCTTTATGCCAGCTACTATGGCCAAGGCTTCTCTGTCAATCTGGGCATAATTCCGCTCTGCAGATGACAGAGTCCTTGAATAATAGGCCACAGGGACTTGTGTCCCATCAGCCTTCGGATGACTAAGTACTGCTCCAACCCCATAAGGAGATGCATCGCATGCGATGCAAACAGGCAGTTGCTCATTGAAATGCGCTAAAACAGCATTGGAAGTGAGCAAGGCCTTCACCTCATTGAAACTCCTGTCATGGACTTTAGTCCACTGCCATGGAGCTTGCTTGTCTAAGAGCCTGTGTAACGGCTCTGCCACTGCAGCCTTATGTGGGAGAAATGCATGGTAAAAATTTAAGAGCCCCAAGAAGGCTTGCAGCTCACTCTTGGATTTTGGACTTGGGGCCTGCTGAATAGCTTGCAGTTTGTCTTCAGCAGGGTGAATGTCTTGGGCATCAATCCTGAAACCCAAGAAGTCAGTTGAAGTGACTCCTATCTTACATTTATCCTGCTTTAATTTAAGGCCTGCTTTTCGAAAATGAAGCAAGACAGCCCTTAACCTTTCTGCTAAATTTTGAGATGACTCCCCAGCAATGAGGACGTCATCGAAGTAGGGTGTCATGATTCCGTGCCAGCCTGTGTTCCCAACAGCTGAGTCTGAGGAATCTGAGGAGGAGGTGGAGGAGGCATTTGAAGGGCCATCAGGGTCAGAGGGAGGCTCTGATGAAGTACAAGATTCACGGTTTGATGAAGAGCCTGGGCCCTCCAGTTGTGTTCCTGATGAAGCTCAGCTGTGTGAGGAGAATGAGTCAGACTCGGACGACTCACACCTGATGGACAT